TTCAGGGCTCTGGCTGCCACCCACGTAGCTCCATGTGGCTTCACGGAGCTCCAAGTGTGAGCTGTGGGGAGCAGGCCTCCTTGTAGACACAGTCCATTGGGATCTGAACGGTGACAGATGAGAGGGGCACAGAGTAGGAGCCACTGGTGGGATTCTGAGGTCTTCATGGAGGTGGAGCGAGTGATGTGTGTGTATTCTATTTTATTCATCTCCTCAGTCACGACTGCAGGAGCCAGGTCCCAGCAGACAGAGAGCGTAATGCAATCTCACAGTTTACATCATCGCTGGCATGCAGGCTGTGGTAAGCACAGACCACATCCAGACTATAACTCTTTAGGGGAACAAAACTCCTGTCTATCTGCTGTGGATCAGCTGGGAGTTTCAAACTGCTGACCTTGTGGTTCGCAGTCTAACATAACCACTAAGCCATATGTTATGCAAATATTTTTTTCCTATTCTTAGGCTTTTGATTTCTGTAATAGGATCTCTTGAAAGGTAAATCCTCGAGTTTGAAATTTTGATAAATCCAATCTATTAATGTTTAATTGTTAACGTTTATGTGTGTGTCTTTTTTGAGAAATATTGGCCAAATGCAGAGTCAGGAGATTTCCTCCTATGCTTCTTTGAAAACGTTTTGTGGTTTTAGTTCCTAACATTTAAATCTTCAATCCATTTTAGCTATTTCTGTAAGGTGATGCCGGGCCTGAATTCATTTTGTCACGCGTGTGGATGCCCAATTGTCCCAGCATTAGATTAGTCTTTCCCTGTTGAATTGTGTTGGTACTTGAACTCTTTATTCTGGTTCATTTATTTTTATGTCAGGAACCCTGGTGGCATAGTGGGTTATGTGCTGGCTGCTAACCTCGAGGTCAGCAGTTCAAAACTACCAGCAGCTCCATGGGAGAAAGATGAGGTTTTCTACTCCTGTGAAGATTTACGGTCACAGAAACCTACGGGTTTCTACCTTGCCCTACGGGGTTGCAGTGAGTCAGAATGGACTTTATTGGCTCTGAGTTCATCGTACTGTTGATCTTTTCTCCAGTAGCATCCTGTTTTGGCTGCTTTTGTCTTACAAAGCAAAACATTCAACGCCATTGAGTCAATTCTGAGTCACAGCAACCCCATCGGGCAGGGTAGGGCTGGTCCCTTGGATACCCTAGGCTGTGGAAAAAAAAAAAAAAAAAAACCAGAAAGAAAGAAAGCTTTTACTTGACAGTGAGTCTTAAAACCAAACAGTTTAAATCTTTTAACTTGCCCCTAGTTTTCCAAGACGATTCCTTGGCTATTTTTGCTCCTGCCTTAGTTTCTCCAAGCTGCTGGAACAAATGACCCCACACTTGCTGGCTGAAGACCACTGCAGTTTACCGGTATCTTCTCATAGTTGAGGAGGCCAGAAGTGTGAAAGCGAGGTGGCAGCAGGGTCCTAGGAGTGGTGGCTGGGACTACTCAAAGATTTCCCTGGACAGACTCACTGCCATCGAGTTGATGCCGCCTCACAGCAACCTTACAGGACAGGGTAGAACTGCCCCTGTGGGTAACTCTTTACAGGAGTGGAAAGCCTGGTCTTTCTCCCGTGGAGCGGCTGGACATTTTGAACTGCTCACTCGGAAGGGGAGCAGCCCCACCTGTACGACTATGCCTCCAGGCCTCTGTCCAGAGAGGTGAAAGGCAGGGGGGCTCTCACAAAGATCAAGGAGGGAAATGATTCCTGCAACATCTACAACTGACCAGGGATTTTATCTAAAGGAAAAGTCCAAAAACTCCATGGGAAAATCAGGGGGAGACAAGTGGGTCATTTCAGGAGGTGGACACCCAGTTGGGCCAATCAAACATCGAGATACGGCACTATGGACATCAAACGGCCAAAACTGTGGAAGTTCATATGCTAGGGGGCTTCACAACGTTCATGGGAAAAGTCCGTTTTCCCCACAAATCTCTGAAGCCCTCCTGTTTAACCTGACTGTGGTGGGACCACTCCCTACTCAGCAGTAGTGACCCCGTGTTTGACAGCAGCGCGGCTCCATGGCTTTACAAGCAGGCTGCCTGGTCTTTCTGCAGAGGCACCGCAGGATAGGTTCAAGCTGCCAATCTTTTGGTTAGTGGCACAGGGCTTGGCTATTTTCTGCCATCTGGGGACTTAAAAATCACATCTGAAGGAAGGGAGGGGGGAAACGAGGAGCTGATACCAAGGGCTCAAGTAGAAAGAAAATGCTTTGAAAATGATGATGGCAACAAATGTACACATGTGCTCGACACAATGGATGAATGTATGGATGGTGATGGGAGATGTAAGAGCCCCCAATAAAAGTATTTAATAAAAAAAAAACACATAACAACCTAGTGACAGCATATTAGTTCTGCATTTGGGCTGTTAACTACGAGATCCACAGTTTGAGACCATCAGTCACTCCGTGGGAGAAAGACTAGGCTTTGGGGTCTCTCCTGTGGGGAAACCATAGTAGAAATTTCAAGTAGGGGGGAGGCGGGAAGGAGGGGAAAATGAGGAGCTGTTTATCAAGAGCTCAAGTAGAAAAACGTTTTGAGAATGATGATGGCAACACATGTACAAATGTGCTTGACACAATGGATGTATGTATGGACTGTGATAAAAATTGTACAAGCCCCCAATAAAATGATTAAAAATAAATAAATTTCAAGTAATTTTTCCAAAACAAAAACGTATATCCTGAAAGTACTAATAGCAAAAAATTAAATAAGCAAGAATAAAAATTATATCTAAAGTCTACTGTAACTTCAGTATACTTCTTCCCAATTTTTTTAAATTGCTTTATTAAAAAAAGCAGGTTTGTGATTGAATTTCACCGGCCTCTGAATCTGACACTCCTGCACAAGCTATCAGTGGCCGGGCCTCGACCAGGTGGTGACGAGGACCTTCCTCTGGAGACAAGTGTGTCCTGAGGTGTCCTGACTCACTTGTCCCTAGTGGTCATTTGCTCGGCCACTCTCGGTCTCCTCCTCCCCCCACAGGGAAGAGGGATGAAGGAAACTCACCCAGCCAGTCCTGAGAACCCTTTCAAAGGTGTAGATTCACAGTGGGGGGGTTCTCCCAGAGCTAATGGGCTTGGCAGGCCAGCAGGCCAAAGATGTACCCTCCTTCCCTCTCTCTTCGATGTCCCCTTGGTGGTGGTGGTTGGTGATTTTCAACTCCTTCTGACCCAACAAGGAGGAAATAGAATAGAACTGCCCCTTTGGGTTTTCTGGTCTTTATAGAGGCAGGCGGCCAGGTCACGTTCCCCAAGAGGCACCATGAGCGTTTGAACCTACCACCTTTCTGTTAGCTCCTTGTATGTGTACCTGTACTTCTCTGAATAAATCTGTGTGTGTGTGTGTGTGTGTGTTTTCAAAGGTGGGCCGAAACTGCTTCCTGCTTCTGACCATGCAATCTGTAAGGAATGTTGTTTCCGGCTACTGACATTATCCGGACCACTGGAGTCTGAATGACTAAGTGGGGAAACTTGGCACTTGTCCTTTTTCGTGAACAGAGCCCCTGAGCGCTAGCGGACCCAAGCAGGAAAGGCTGACTTTGTGTCCCCATTCTGGGCACACCTTCCTCAAGGTGAAGAGTAGCCTTCCTCTCTGCCTGAATTCGACCTGGACAGCGACACCCCACCCATACCAGCACTCGTTTACAAAGGATGCCGCCTGCCTCCACTGACCTCCCTGTAAAGATTGTGTGAGTTCCCTGTTGCTTCCTGATCTAAGCAGAATGGCCTTGTTCTTTGAACATGGCGTGCTCTGCATGCATTTGGTTGGGGGGGGGGAGGCATTTGGGCAGGGGGGGGAGGGCAGCGGGAGGGCCAAGCTTCCTTTGCCATGGCCAATTGAGACTCTGGGGTCTTGGGGTTTGTCCTGGGCCTGCATTCTGCCTTGAGCACGCAGCCAGGGTCTGCGCTTGGAGGCAGCCAGGCTGAATTTCCCCTGGCTCAGGCTCGCTGCTGACATTCCCACCCCGCTCACACGATGGCGATGGCAGCCTAAATTTAGCGCACCAGCTCCCAGACTTCTGTCTCCAGTCCCAGGACTCCCCCAGGGTGGCGAGGACACCTTTCTGTGTTTGCTGCGTGGTCCCCAGGGAGACGCCGGCCTCGGTCACTCTGCTAGTGACCTAGTGCGTCCCTCATCCTGGGGCGCCTTGCCTGCGCATGGGCGGCCCCTTGCTCAGGGAGCATGCGCCCCTCTCTCGGTGAGGTGACATTTGACAGACGGGTGCGTGGGTCGCCGTCGCGTCCGTTGGGGCCCCCGCGCGTCCGAGCGTCAAGGGGGCAGGGAAGGAGGGCGGGGAACCCGCTGCAC